TATTGACAAATATTACTTCTGTTAGACTTCATCTAAAATTTCACATCAGAAAAAAGATACCTCAGAAAAAAAATTTACATATAGCAGAGACTAAAATTGGAGCTGATCCTCTTGTGTCTACATTTTAAAATGGATCAAGATGGTACTTCAAATACTGAAATGTTCAAAACCTATTTAAACATAGCTTTGTACTGAGCACTACCCCTACATTTTGCTGTAGCATTTTTCATTGACGAGGTAAAACTGAAAAGAATGATTTTTTTCCTTACAAAGGTAAAAAAAATCACAAAAGAAATACTCCAAAAGCGTGACCTGCACAAAAGAATAAATGTGTTATCTCTGCTCATTTTGAATCTACTATGTAAAACTGGAATCTGTAGTACTCCATAGTTGGAACTATTTGCATTAACTTCCACGAAGAATTCAATCTGATTAATGGATAAGTACTAAGATGAACTAATTTGAACTTGTCATAAATATACACACACACACACACATATATTTAGTATAGTCAAATTTATAATTAAATACATACTTACATTTATAGATTATTTCATAAATATATATATTATGCCCATCAAAACCAAAACAATTATTTAGAATTTAGAGCAAAAAAAGGAATTAATTTTTTCCCCAGAAGGAATATTTTATCACTGACATTGTTTAGAATGACTGATTCTTCCCTCTGGAACCCAAAGGCTATCCATTTTTTAGTTACTAACAGGATACCTTATGCATTTGAAAGGTTCAACTCTGATACTTGTTCTTTCCCCTTTGCAAGATAATATGACTAAAAACTGCAAAAGACACTTGGTCCCATCACTAACAGGTATTCCAAATTCTCCAGCTGAGAAGTCTCTGCATGTCCTGAAACATGGAGGCTTGTTTTCTTAGAGAGACAAAATTCTTTTAAATATTTGTGGACATGAACTTTTAAGTGTACTGTTAATAACAGGTATAACTGTGTAACTTCAACATACTGATTCTTAAATTTATGTATTCTTATTTTTAAAAATCATTGCTTTGTCTGGACTATTGCAATTGTTTTTTGGGGACACTTTAAGTTGAGAATTCTTAGAAATCCTCTATAAGAAGATTAAATTCAGAAGAGAGGGAAGATTCAAGATTCTCAGATTATCCAAAAATATCTTAAGACAAACAAAAAATAAAACAGCATACCAAAACTTTGCAATGCAACAAAAAATGTTCTAAGAGGGATGTTTAATAATGATAAATGCCTATGTTAAGAAAAAAGAAAAATCTCAAATATAACTTTATACCTTTCAAAATTAGAAAAAGGAAAACAAACTAAGAGCAAAGTTAACAGAAAGATTACAAAGATCAGAGCAGAAATAGACAATAGAAAAACAATAGAAAAGATGAATGAAACTAAAAATTGTTTTTCTGGAGAGATAAAATTGATAAATCTTTACCTAGATTTACCAAGAAAAAAACAGAGATGACCCAAATAAATAAAATTATAAATGAAAGAGATATTACAACTGATACCAAAGAAATACAAAAGATCTAAGAGACTACTATGAAAAATTATATGCCAACAAATTGGGCAACTAGAGATGGATAAATTCCTAGAAATATATAATCCACGAACACCAAAACATAAAGAAACAGAAAATCTGAACAGACCAATAACGAGTAAGGAGAATGAACCAGTAATCAAAAACCTCTCAACAGAGAAAAGCCCAGGAACAAATGGCTTCACAAGTGAATCCTACCAGACATTTAAAAAAGAATTAACGCCAATCCTTCTCAAATTCTTCTAAAAAACAGAAGAGGATGGAACAATTCCACACTCATTTTACAATGTCATCATTACCTTGATACCAAAGATATACAAAGATACAAGAAATGAAAACTACAGGCCAATATCACCGATGAATATAGATGTTAATTCTCAAGAAAGTACTAGCAAACCAAATTCAGCATCATACATCAGATTGAACAGCATATTATTATCATACATGTTAACAGTATCATACATCAAATTGAACATATTATTGTAATTCAACTTTATACCATGATTAAGTGGGATTTATCTCTAGGATGCAAGGATGGTTCAATATATGCAAATCAATAAATGTGATACACCATTAACAGAATGAAAAATAAGAATCACATGATCATCTCAACAGATACAGAAAAAACATTTGACAAAATTTAACTTATGATAAAAACTCTCAACAAAGAAACATACCTCAACATAAGAAAGGCCATATGTGATTAGCCCACAGCTAACATAATACTCAATTGTGAAAAATGAAAGCTTCCCCTCTAAGATTACGAATAAGACAAACAACATGCCCACTGTCACCATTCTTCACCAACACAGTACTGGATGTCCTAACCAGAGAAACCAGGCAAGAACAAGAAATAAAAGACATCCAAATCAGAAAGAAAGAAGTAAAACTGTCTCTGTTATGGGTTACATCATCTTATTTAGAGAAAATACTACTATATTTATAGAAAGTACTCCATCAAAAACAAAACAAAATAAACCCAGTTAGAATTAACCAATGTCAGTAAAGTTTCAGGATACAAAATCAACGTACAAAAATCAGTTGGGTTTCTTTACATTAAAAACAAACTACCTGAAAAAGAAATACTAAGAGAAGTAAGCCACAAAGAGAAAGAAATATACCATATAATATCACTTATATGTGGAATCTGAAAAAAAAGGCAGATTAACTTATTTACAAACAGAAACAGACTCACAGACATAGAAAACAAACTCATAGTTATGGGGGAAAAGGGGCAGGGAAGAGATAAATTGGAAGTTTGAGATTTGCACATACTAACTAATATATATAAAATGGATAGACAAGTTCATACTGTATAGCACAAGGAACTACATTCTCTATCTTAGTAACTTATGGTGAAAAAGAATATGAAAACAAATATATGTATGTTCATATATGACTGAAGCATTACGCTGTACACCAGAAATTGACACAACATTATAATCTAACTATACTTCAATAAAAATATATATAAAAAGAAATAAACAACTATTTACAAGGGCATCAAAACAATACTTAGGAAAAAATTGAACCAAGAAAGTGAACGATCTATATACTGAAATCTATAAGACATTGATAAAATAAATTAATAGAGATGCAAATAAATGGGAAGATACTCATGTTCATGGATCAGAATAGTTAATGTTGTTAAAATGTCCAGATTCCCCAAAACCATCTGTAGCTTCAGAACAATTCCTATCAAAATTCTAACAGTATTTTTGTACAGAAATTTTTAAAAACCCTACAATTAGGATGGAATCACAGAAGAGCATGAAGAACCAAGGCAATCCTGAGAAAGAATAACAAAGCTGGAGGCATCACACTTCCTGGTTCCAAACTATATTACAAAGATATAGCAATCGAGATGGTATGATACTGGCATAAAACTGACATACAGACCAATGGAACAGAATTGAGAGCTCTGCTGATGCATATATGATCAAGTAATATCTGACAAAAGATCCAAGAATACTCAATTGGGTAAGAATAGTCTATTCAATAAATGGTGTTCAGGAAACTGGATATTACACCACTCACTTACAGAAGTTAATTTCAGATGGATTAGGGACTTAATACTAAGACCTGAAACAGTATAGCTCCTAAGGAAGAAAAACAAAAATGCTCCTTGACATTGGTCTTGGCAATGATTTTTTAGATATGACACCAAAAGCACAAAACAACAAAAGCAAAAATTAAAAGTGGAACTGCATCAAACTAAAAAAGCTTCTGCACAGCAAAATAAACCTTCAACAAAATGAAAAGGCAATCTACAGAATATGAGAAAACATTTATAAATCATTTGTCTGATAATGGGTTAATATCCAAAATATAAGAAACTTGTACAATTTGTTAGCAAACCTGCCCCCCATATAATCCAATTTAAAAAATGGGCAAAATACCTGAATAGACATTTTCCCAAAGAAACAACAATCATATAAAAAGGTATTCACTAATCATCAGTGAAATGCAAATCAAAATCAGATATGAGATATAATCTCATGTTTTTTAAAATGGCTATTATGAAAAAAGACAAGAGATAAAAGCTGGTGAGAATGTGTCAAAAAGGGGACCCTAGTACACATATCCTCTATGGAAAACACTATGGAGGCTTCACAAAAAAGTTAAAAGTAAGACTACATATGATCCAGCAATCCCACTTCCAGGCATTTATTCAATGGAAATAAAATTACTATCTTGTAGAAAAATCTGCACCCCCACATTCATCACAAAATTATTCACAATAACAAAAACATGGAAACAACCTAAATGTATACTGATGGATGGATGGATAAAGAAAATTCAGCATACAAACACACACACACACACAATGGAATATTAATCATTCATAAAAAAGAAGGAAATCCTGCCATTTGCCACAGCAGAGATGAACCTGAGGGCATTATGCCAAGTAAAATAAGCCAGAGTGAGAAAGAAATACTGTTGTCATCTCATTCATATGTAGAATCCAAAGAGCTGAACCATCAAACAGAATAGACTAGTCATCGCCAGGGGCTGGGTGGCAGGGGAAATGGGGAGATATTGGCCAAAGGGTACAAACATTTAAGAGCAATAACTTCTAGAGATCTAATGTATATCATGGTGACTATAGTTAACAATACTGTATTGCATGCTTGAAAGTTGCTTAAAAAGTAAATCTTAAATGTTCTCACTGTAACAACAACAAATGGTAATTATGTGAGGTGAAGGATGTTTTAACTAACATCGATTGCAAATATTTCACAATATATATGTGTATCAGATCATCACATTTTACATCTTACACTTACACAATGTTATAAGTCTATTACATACATCAATAAAGCTAGGGGGAAGAAAAGATTCTTGGATCAAGCAGATAATGGGACAGAGCAGACAGCTTCCACACAAACGATAAAACAATCTTCTAAGTCGACTTGCTTATTTCCTTTTGATTTACTACTTATTATAGTTATTATTTGGTACCTCTTTGTGATGACTTTGCCTATGACAGTTGTTTTCACAAATCTTCACCATATTATTCTTCTCATCTGGCTTTCTTCTACCACCTAAAGAAAAGCAAAACTCTCTTCAGTTTTTCTCAGAATATAATTTAAGCTCTAAATCTTATTGATGACCAAATTTGTCACCTTCCATGGGATTCTGATGACACAAACTTAATAGCTGTTCCTTTCACTGCTCAGAAAGTATATTTTCTTCAACAGGTTCCTTGTGATATATATATAAATTGTCCTATCATTATTCACCCCAACGTTCAATCTTATAAAAATTGGTTTTCACCTCCACTCCTAGTCAAGAAAATACTTCCCCTGAAATAATATTAGAATTGTGAACAGAAAACAGCTCACCAGAGGAAATAAATACTGGGGCTACCCTTGCTGCTGTATCGTTTGTTCTCTTCAGAGACTTTCTAGCCTGATTTGTAGATGCTATTTATATCCACTCGGAAAGTCAGCCTACATCCAGATACCAGTAATTGACTTGCTCTCTTAGTAATAAACAACACTTGTACCCCTAACTCTTTCTGTGCCCACTGGGATACCACATCTGATGTGAAAACCAGGTGTACCTTGCCTACTGAATACATAGCCATACTGTATATCTGGGCAATTATGAGAGTCTTTCATACATATAAAACCTATGTAATATGTTTTCCCAAAATACTCGAAGTGAGACGACTACAGTCAGACCTCCTATCCACAGGTTCCACACCTGCAGTTGGTGGAATCCACAGATGCAGAACACTCCGATATGGAGGCCTGACTGTACTACACCATTTTATATAAGGGACATTAGTATCCGTGGATTTTAGCATTGGTGGGGGTAGGGGGTCCTGGCACCAGTCTCCCACGGATATCTAGGGACAATTGTATCACCTGTTCAGGAGAGCTCACAATTCACTCTTCATAAGCTACATTTTCAATGATATAGTAATATAACTGGAAAAGGCCGTCCAAATTTTGTCTCTGATCCTAGGAAAAATCATTATGGTACCTCTGTTTTGGTGATCCAAAAAAAAATTAGTTTACACTGATTAACGGGTTGTCATAAACTAGCTCATATATATCCTTTGATTCCTCTTCAAGGAAATGTGTGTGCTATATAATATATTTACTGCACTTATGTAAATATGTCATTTCTCAAAAACAGAAGACAAATTGACTCTATGAAAGACTCAGATGGAAGTGTGGAGATGTTTCCATGATTGGGATCTGTAGTCTAGGTCCTGCCTTCATAGCCCGTTACACGGACAAATAAGCTTTCTTTTTTTTAATTGCATGTAATGCGGCTGGTCAACGCATTCTGTTCAAAGTAGCAGTAATAATGGGAGGCCGTGGTCGTATCAGATAATTTCACAACTGAACACGCTACAAAAGGAATAGAGAAGACAAATTCTTGTCCAACTAAAGACAACAACCTTCTGATCAACAAAATCTTGAAAACTGTGTGGATCTAGACTAAACAGATAAATATTTTTCAGTCTGACTTTATTTGCCCTTGGCCAAAGGAGTGACTGAGAAAGCAAGAACAAAGCACCTTCAAGGATCCAGCGGGCAGTAGGAAGAAAACAGCTGGTATGCAGTATTTCATACTGGAAATGAGAAATTTCATAGAATATCAACGTCAGATGAGGAATCTTCATTACTGTGATGGAACAAGATCAAAAGGAGACCATTCCAAAGTCACAGCAAAAATGTCTGAAAATAGCCAGATTTAAGGGTACAAGAACACTAAAAACAAAATACCATGTAATTTCCTTCTACTTGCATTCCTTCCACTGAAGATAAATTCACACACACACACACACACACTTGTCCCTCCTGGGAAAATAAATACATAGCATTACTCACACTTTATAAACTAGATGGTATATACCACAATGAGGCGGCCTCAGACCTTGGAAGACATCATACTGAGTCCCAAGGGTTCACGGCAGAAGCCAACATCACTACCCAGTACGGCAGGGCCTGCGTCTCCTAGAAGGCTAGAGAGTTGCTCCTGGGCATGCACAGTTCATTGTCTCATTCTGGCCTTGGTAAATCCCCTCCTCCCCACCCCCAGCCCCCCAACACCCAGCCAGGCCCCTGGAGAGAGGCGCCATAGCACTGTGACTCCAAGCTGGGAGAAGGGGTCGAGGAGAATGAGGGTTTGGCTCGATATGAGGCAACAGGCTGGATTCCTTAGGGTGAATCTGAGATGAAGGGCCTCGAGCACCTGGGTACCCAGGTGGTTCTCATCCCAGGACTACCCTGTCAGTCCCTACAGAGCTCTTGAAAATGAGTGATCTGGCTTCCTCTTGGGAGAGTAGTGGCGGCAGCCGCAGAACTTCATTGGATTTGCTAACCTCTTGAGCTACCCTGGACACTCGGGGCATTCCAGTCCATCCTCCTCTGTCCCTCCCTCAAGACCCGCACTTACTACCCTCACACCCCTGAAGCCACAAAGTGCACCTTGTGGGATCCAAGGTGTCTGCCTTCCTGGAAAACACCACACTCTGCCCACCCCAGACCAGGCCTGGCCCTGGTCCACAGGTGTCTCCAAATAAAACGTGGTCTCCCCACAGCCCCATTAGCTCACTCCTGTAACTCCCTCTCTTTACAGAAACATCTCATGATGCCTTCAATGTGTATTTCATTGCTACAGCAACATAATAAACAACTGTTATTGACTACAGTTGTGTTCTTATTGATCTTCGGCCCTGGGCTTTTTCAGTGTCGGTAACTAACTGAGGATGAGGTCTCTGAGAATATAACAGATGGATGTCCTGGTAAAGTGGCGCTACACATACATGAGGAAAAAAGATCCAAGTCTGGTCAGCAGAAAACTAACACTTCATACTCACGTCCCAGACCTAAGCCAGTTTACCTAGAAGGATATACCCACATAGAGCTGGGTCTCTGAAATAGAGGCCTAGATGGAATCACAACTGCTTATATTTCGGTTTCCTAGACCAACTGTGGCTATTTACCTGGGTGTCTGTTCAATGGGTGGGGTGGCGGGGGGGCTATTGGGTTACACCCCACAGGCCTGCAAGACTGCCCAGCTTGGAGACCAAAGAAAGAGCCCGGAGACAGCGAGAGACATCAATGGTTCACTGGATAAGGGGCCTTACATGTCCAGAACAGAAGGACTCGGAGCGACTCCCCACTGTGCATCCCCGGCGGCTCCTTAGCAGTCTTCCCTGCTGCGGAAGAGTGCGGCTAGCATTTATAGGCGGAGCTGACGTCAGAAAGTCCCATCAGTTACCAGGGAAACCAGCGGCTGGGGCAGGGGGCAAGCATGTAGGCACTTACTGATTAAGCCCTATAATTAAGAGAACTGGCTAGTCGTGTGAGTGAAGCAGGGCCTAGTTGGGGAGGGAATGAACAGAGAGCGAGGGAACAGCCGTCTTGATTGGCCTGACCTCACGGTGTTGTCATTACTACACCGCGCACATTCTGTCATGGAAAATGCAATGATTTTTGCCCCCTTGAGAGAAAGATATCTCATGCAAAAATACTTCAAGCCCTGAAAGCCCCAGGGCTTTTGCGGAAGATCTTATCCATTGCCATAATTTCTCATTTAACATCATCTCTGGTGAAGGGATAGATTGACAAAGAGAGCCCCGACAAAGAGTCACACCCACAGAATATTTTTACTGTGTGCTGTGTAATCCAGAAGCAGCTGGTTTGACAGAATTATGTTTTCACCCACAGAATGCTCAGTTTTAATGCCAGCTGGCAGACAACTGCCTACAGGAACGGAGTGCTTTCCTAAATAATTCAGGTTATAACAGAAAGTAGCTGCCTCTTCCATAGCCAGAAACATAGATTCACAAACCAGGAGATGTGGGGTAGGAATGGCCCTTTTTAACCACTATCAAATAACCCACCAGACTCCATGGGTTTCAAGGTTCTATCATCTAAGGAAAAATCGCTTTCACCAGGGAATATGGTGATGGTCTCACTCACCTGGAAGCTGGGACAACACCCTGGTCATTAGAGGTTCCTTGTGCTACCGCAGCAATATGTGAAAGAGGATTGTCAAATTGGGTGGCAGCTGGTTGGTCCTAATTTCTAAGCAGAAAATGAGCTTCTTTGCCTTATACTGGCACCAAGATGACCATGATTGGAACTTAGAGGATTCACTAGGGCACCTCTTACAGCCTTTTGATCAGTAGTCTTTTCAGTGGAAATGTACTGAGACTACATGAAGACAACACTAACAAGGACTCACATCTTAAAGTACTTTGAGTCATTTAGCCAGATAAAGAACCAGGTCCATCTAGGTGCTGGCAGAAGGTAAAGGAAATGGAACATGTGGCAGAAAAAAAAAAGCTATGCATATCCATGTAAGCTTGGATATATGGTTGAATATTATTTTTGGTTTCCATTGAGAATGCAACTCAGTTGCCAACACCCTGTGGGATATGGTGGCTAATGAGAGTTTTCTTCTTTTTTTTTTTGTATCCTGTGTGTGAAGGATTCAAAATTTTCACCCAATTATGTCAGACAAAACTCCAGGACTGAAAAGGAGCTCTTCTGTTTGCCAGGCTAGAGTCATTCTCTGCTTTCTGTACCCTATTCTGTTACTGAGAAGTTGAACGTTATTGGCCCCATCACTTGATTTCCTTACTTCTCAATTCATGACTTAGTTTCAAGAAAAAGATATGCTGACAGGAGATCCACGGAATAGAGAGAGAGAGGTATTTGGTTCTCTAATCCTATTGTGTCAGAACTCTTTGATTTGGTCGTGTCCATCAAAGAGGGTTTTTGCTTGGTAGCTCTCCCCATGTCTCTCTCTCGCTCAACCCCTCCCTCTTTCTCATTCTATTTCTTTTCTCTCCTATTACTTTAAGTATTAGTGCTAGAAATAACTGTTGTTACTATAGCTTGGTACTTCATTAGCCTTTGCCTCTTTTTCGTTTTTATCATTATGCCTTTTTTTTAAACTCTGTTCCATCCACACCTTGGTAAATCCTTTAGTTACCCTCAGATTATTTTGTTTCCTTCCTTTCCTCCAAACCATTTTGAAATTTTTGAGATTTTCAAGCGTGGTTTAAAATTCT